AATTATAGATTTGTTTGTTTTGAATAGCAGTTCATCTTAATTTTGTTCTTTCACCAAAACAGAATAAACAATATGTTAAAAGCACTTTGTGCAAAGTGGTACAATTACTTCCTCATGGAGAATGGTGCAAAACAGAAGGCAAGCTTTACCTATTAGATACTGAGTCATACTTTATCTTATCCGTGTTTCTACTAAATATACTTAAATTATCAAGAGAGCTATTAGACAATACCATAGTAACGTTATAAATATGAATCAGTGAGTTATTAGCCTAATTTATAGTATAAAAAAAAAAAAAAAAAAAGATGATACTTAAATATCAAGCAACCGCTTTGTAAGTTCCGTGATTCAGTGGCTGTAATAAATCATCAAGGAAACCCATTAAACTTCTCCTCTGCAGACAACTTACAAAGATACAAAAAATGAAACAAAAGAAAAGCATCATTGCATAAACGCTTTCTAAAACAAACAGTAGTGGTCACATCTGAAAACAAATATAACCTTTTAAATTGCTTTATGAATGTGTTAGAGATAAGTTTTTAACATTTCGTATCAAGCTTTAGAAACTCTGCTATCTCAAAATGCGTCTTCCATTCCAAGCAAATATTTTCAGCATTTGATTACCTCTTTAAGACTGAGCAGTATATGGTTGTAAGTAGGTAGACTCTGGTTTCCCAGAGCTTTAGTTTAAAGTGCCCACTGTAAATTGCTCTGCCAAATTCTCAGTGACAAAACATATGCCTCGCATCAAATCTATCTGCACCTTGTATTAAATATTTAAAAAAACACTACACTTTACTACTATTCTTCTCAAAATTCAGTTCATTTGAATAAAAGGATATTCAAAATTCACTGTTCTCTAGTTAATGATACAGCTTCTTTATGGTCATTTATCACTGAATCATGGAATGGCTTGGGTTGGTAGGGACCTCAAGGATCATCAGCTCCCAACCCCTCTGCCACAGGCAGGGCTGCCAATTGCTTAGGTAAGTACTAGATCAGACTACCCAGGGCCTCATCCAACCTGGCCTTACACACCTTCATGGATGCGGCATCCACAACTCTCAGGGTAACTTGTTCCAGCACCTCACTACCCTCATTTGAAAAACCGACCTCAACCCTCCGACATCTATTCTACATCTCCCCTCCTTTAGTTTAAAATCATTTCCCCTTGTCCTATCACTACCCTTGTAAAAAGTTGATTTTCTTCATGTTTATGAACTTCCTTGAAACAGTGGAAGGCCACAATGTGTTCTCCCTCAGTATTATGATACACTACACTTATTTGAGTGAATTGCTTTGATTAACTTTTTGCTGTCCAACTAATCTTTTAAATAGTAACTGTTCCACTAATTTCATAACAGGCAAAAAACTGCACAAGTATTTTATTCAATAAAAATAATACACAAAAATGAATATAATAGACCTAGGTAAAAAAAAAAACAAAGGTGTTGCAAAAGGATTTCAAGATTGTCCACCTATTTTGTGGACAAAGCCAGAAAATGCAAACTTTTTGTATAGTGCATATTCATATTGGAAATATCTATGTATGAAATCTGACAGTAGTGATTAAAAATAGTCTTCACATTTCTATAAATTACAAGGCAACTACTCACACATGCAGAAGTACTGTGTCAGTATGGTTTTTAAAAAGCCAATAAATATGGATATTCTAACTTTAATCAATTTTTTAGCACAAAACTGAAGTCAATAAGGTAAACTTCAGCCAACTGAACTACTATGATTTACGCAAATGAAACCTGCCTTTTCAGGAATAGTTTCAAACCATTTTACAGATAATTATTTAAAGATTCTGCATCCATGTGAACAACAGGTTAAGAGAAGACATAGATAATGAATAATCCTGCAGCCATTCCACGCTGCAAATAAGCATCTAAAACTGAGATTAAAAAAACTGAATCTCCATTTGTCAAATAGTAATAGCTAGTCGAACAATTTAATACTTTTTATTCCAGATTTAGAAATATTCATCTTTGTTCACAAAACGTGTATTTTACAAAACTCACTGAACCGTGGCTGAAAGACTGTGCTGGCAAATTAGCAGCCAATAAGCATTTAACTGCAGTTCAGAAACCACTTAATTATAAGTAGCTTTCTGTTCCATGTCTTCAACTCAAACACATTTTCCAAATTGCAAATGGTATACAAGCAAGGGGGTTCAGGTCTGAATACCTCACAAACCTCCACACGACAAACAAAGCAATTTACATTTTGGGCATGGGAGAGGAAGAGTGCAGCATTGCAATGTTTGAAATAAGAGAAATAATTGCTTATCCTCCTCTAATGTCTGCTCAGTTAGCAGCCAAAAGTGAGACATCTACGTAACTTTTAGAACATAACATTTCTGAAAAAAATGGATTGTTCATGAATCATGTAATTAGCTCTGTCTCTGGTAACATAAGACAGAAAACCTGGAAGGCTCCATCAAGATTACTCCTCAAATCTGCAGTTTCAGCAGTTGAGTATTTTCATTTAACTTACTCACCAATTTGCACACTCAAAAAAAAATCTCTAACCTCCTCCCTAACCTCCCTTTTCTTCGTGAAAGACAAGCCAAAAACAAAATGTAGTAAAGACAAAATATTTGCTGAGTGAGAGACAGATGATAGAAAAAAATAATAATAATGGTTTTCTGAGAAACATTTGATTGTAACAACAGTGGCAAAATATGTCCTTCTTACAAAAAATGCTGTCGACTTAAATTTAAAATAACACTAATTTGCTTCCAAAACTAATTAGAAGGATAGTTTATAACAGAATTTTTTAGTGTTTGACACATAGTACGTTTAGTTTAGGTCAGTTTGAATTATTAGTAAAATCTTACTATTATGTAATAATCAAGACATACCATTCAATTTCTACTGTGTTTTTAATTTTCAGCCTAAATATATGGTTCTGGAAAGCACTTCTTCATCTCCCTTATATTCTCACTTCTGGTACTGACTTACACAATAAGCCTGATGAAGAAAATAAGCTCACTACCCTTGTTGCAGTAAGGCATGGTATATGCTTCCAGGATTTGTTCTCATAACCGAACAGCTTTTTTGCACTGCTGATTTCTTGCCAACTGTTATGAGAGCAGAACCAAAGAAAGCCATTTTCCTGTTGCAGAGAGTTAAAAACTGTTGCCACCTATTATCATGTTTCTGTTAACAGGTGTTAAGATATCCTGCTTCTGTTTCAGCCTAGTCCAGGGAAGGAACTAGGAGGCCAACCGAGCTGTAGAGTACTTTCACAACAGTTATTGATGTCCTAGAAGTAATCCAATTCAAAAGAATCCTACCCCTAGGAGAAATACTGTGTGCATCAAAATATGTTAGGGCTGATCAGGTGGAAAGGAGTTCTGCAGAGAAGATCATGAGCTGGCAGCATACCCTTGTGGCCAAGAAGGCCAATGGTATCCTGGTGTGCATTAAAGAGTGGCCAGAAGACTGAGGGAAGTTATCCCACCCCCGTTACACTGCCCTGGTGAATTCATATCTAGAGAACTGTGTCCAGTTCAGGGCTCTTCAGTTCAAGACAGACAGAGAACTCCTGGAGAGCGTCCACAAAGACAGTTAGGGGCCTGGAACAGCTCCCTTAAGAGGAAAGGCTGAAAAACCTGTAACTGTTCAGCCTGGAGAACAGAAGATTGAGTGGTGATCATATCAATACTTACAAATATCTAAAGAATGAGCATCAAGAGGATGTAGCCAACCTCTTTTCAGTGGGGCCCAGTAAAAGGACAAGGGTCAGTGAGCACAAACTAGAAAACAGGTAATTCCATATGAACATAAGAACGAAATTTACCTAGAGGGTGATAGAGCACTAGAAGAAGCTGCTCAGGGAGGTTGTGGAGTCTCCTCTAGAGATATTCAAAACCCACCTGGACACTTCCCCATGCAACCCACTGAAGCAAACCTGCTTTAGCAAGGGGGTTGGACTTAATGATCTCCAGAGGCCCTTTTCAAACCCTATTATTCTGTGAACCTGTAAAATTGCATCAACTTTTACAGTACAAGATATGCTATAGTCACGATATAAAATAAGCTATCTCAGCAGAAGACATCTGTATTTGGGATATATCCTAATTCTAAAGCTACATTTTGCCTGCATTCATCACTGATTCTGACTTCCACTATAACTGATTCCTTGAATGAAATGAAAACATACATTTTAGAATAAACCCTACAGTTAAAAATACTAATTATATTTGTCCTGAAAGGGGAGACCTTTTCCATAAAAATCTATCTGAATCATAAAGGACCTAAGTAGAACACTTTTTTATCTGAATTTATTATGAGATCATTTTAATGAAAGTTCAGTAGATTCAATTAGAATTTGTTTTCTGGTTGCTAAGCTTCATTATTCTTCTTTCAACAGTTATAGCTTCACAAAGAGGTCAGGAAGCCAGATATAAAGTTTAAATCAGCAAAACTTGTGGTCAATAGTAGCTGCCACTGAATAGCTATTCTACACTTTAATTAGATTCCTGCACCTACTAAAGCACCACTCAAGAGGGGTGTTTTTCAGCTCTATTTCAGATAAGGAATATGATTATCAAACCCTTTTATGATCTGTATTAATGGAGGTAGCATTAATACATTTTTAAAATATGAATTACTCATAATCCAAACTTTAACCCATAAAACTGTTGATAATACTAATTTAATTAGTCTTAAGAAAGTCCTGTTGCTTTACTATCATTAAATTGCCGGTTTATCTTTCTGACCTGCTATAAAACATTGACAATTCACTCTGACAGGAGAAAATTAATTCCTTTGTGTTAGAAAAACAGATTACCTTGGTTATTTACATCTTAATCCACAGTGTAAACATGTTTGGCAGGTCAATAAGCGAATCAAGTCAATGTTTCTGAACTAATGTTTCCCTTAAATATTTTTTTAAGCACATCTTCTTCAATAAAATCATGAAAACAAAGTGAAGAAGATGGAACTGTAATCCTTCAAAAGGTCAGAAAAAAAAAAAAATCAACCTACCTGACTAGATTTTCATTGTCTCCAGTCCCTTTGCACGTAGCACATTCAGTTCTTAAGTCCTCTGATTTGGGCTTCTTTTGCAGAACAGATTGCCGCTGTCTTCTTTCTCTGGGAATCCGTTCCTGTCATAATAGTAGACATAAGAAAGGAATGGGGGGAAAGAAGGAGAAGAAAGCAAATATTTTCAACTACAGTATTGAAAGTAACATTTCAACCCAAAGTTTACTTTTTTTTTTTTTTTTTTTTTTGTGAAAGTGTTTAAAACAAACAAACAAAAATATCAAAACACTATATTCCAACCTCAGGTTTTTCTTCATCTGGCACAAAGCTTCGTTTTCGTCCTCTAGTTCTCTAGAAGAAAATATATTTAGATTTCAATATAAAGTAACACAGAACATTTTGGCTATTTATTACTCAAAACATCAACAAAAATATGCCTCATGAAATCATTTAAACAATTAACTACAGAACTACTGAGGGCAAACTACAATATCAGATGTTAGATAAATGTACAGCACTGGCCAAAAAGAAAATATAAATAATTTTGTTGAGTTGTGCATGCAGAGTCTAATTCTAAAGAACACTATCTTCAGAATAGTCTCATGAAGACATTTCATGAACTATCCAACTACAAAATGCAGGAGTTTAAATTCAATATGAACACTTTACTACAGTAAATTAATACATTATGTCAGAGTGCACAGAAAATCACCTTACTGTTTTCTGTGATCACAAGACTTCACATACAATAAGCTTTTTTTTTGTTACAATGGAATATTTCATACCAGACTTTTTTTTTAAATTAATATATATTAAAAATTGGTCCTTTAAAATCATTACACACCATTAAATTGACCTTTTGCAATCTAATTTATATTTCAGTACAGGATATGCTTTTGTACAATATTTTCAATATTAACTAGGACAATTAAATTCTCAAAAACATTTTATTAGCTTTAGTTTCCTATATGCTGAGGTACACAGTAGAAGAGATGAAAACAGCTATGTGGCAGATCATTTTTCAATGTAGTCAATTCTGTGATTCTATACTAAGGGACATCATTTAGTGGGGAAATATTGGTGGTAGATAGACTGTTGGACTAGATGATCTTGGAGATCTCTTCCAGCTCTGGTATTCTATGACTCTATAAATCTACAGCATTAACTACATGCCAACATATGGTACAAAATAGATCAGATGAGTAACACGACAGGCAGAACTAATTTCAGTATTGCATTTGGCCAAAAGAATTAAATGCCTACAGTGTTAAGGAAGTCATTCTAAAAAGTAACATACCCATAAACTGTATCAACAATCAAAGGTTTAAAAAGAACTGTAACTACACGCAACTCATAAGCAAATCTAGTTTCACTTTATCTCTGAAGCAGCAACACTGTAAACTGTTGTTAAGCTGGTAGTATTGCACTATCCCCTTATTTAAGGAGAAAATGAGAACAGATGCATAAGGATGCAGAAAACAGACAATTCTACTTAACAACATCTCATACTTCAAAATCAGCTCTAAAAACAACTTCAAAATTATTATATTTCTTGGGGAAAACAATCATCTATGAAGTCGTTTGCCATGTGGCAAAAAAATGCACACTGTCTAATTTTTCATTCCACTTATTTTTAACAGCTACTTTTGATGTCAACACAGAAAAAAACTAGTGAACAAAATCTTAGAATGATCTTAGAAGAGTTAAGAAGCAGCTGGACAGTAAAACACAATCCAACAAGATAATAATATAATGCTTTTCCTTCTTAGCCTCCCTTGGAGAGGATTCTTCCTAGTTTCACAGTAAAATTGTTCAGTACTTTACATTATTATAGACATTTAAACATAACTGTAGTGTAAATAAAACTGCCATTCCAGCAAATGCATACATCTCTATACAGCAGACTGTACCTGCTTAAGTTAGTTACACGGTGTTTGCAAAGATTTTTTCTGCTTTTGAAGAAGAATTAACTCTGTAGTAAAAGGAGCTTCAAACAAATGCACAACTGATTTGTTTTGTGTCTCCTTAAAAGACTAATTACTGTTAAGATTTTCTTTCACATTTCCGTAAGGACAGTTACTGAAAAAATGTAGGACAGTAGGAGCTTTAAATGCCCTGTAAGAAATATTATTTTGCACAGAGACATGAAGATCCATAAACTGGAATGCTCTCATATTCTAAGCTTGCAGCCATATGTATTGTGTTTAATTCCATCACGAAATTCCATCAGAAAAACTTAAGAACACAACAACGTGAGATTTTATTCCAAGTAATTTTTTTAGGTATTTCAAAGTAACAGCTTGTTTACTCAGCACATAAATACACATAGGTAACTCTGTAAGTAATACCTCTTATTTCCATGGAAACTACAACTGATATAAAAAGTACAATAACACTATTTGATAGAGCGAATTCTCTGCTACAAAACTCACTTTTTCAACATAGGCACTACCATTACCATAGCATTGAACATGCCACACTCATAAAATTACATCTGCACCTGCAGAGGTGATCCACTATTGTTGTCACCACTGCTGAAGCACACCACACAACTCCTCAGGGAGCTCACTACCACTGTATGCTCTCCATAAACATTCAGCAATCAGCAATGAATGTCAGTAAGTTTTTTCTACATGGAGAAATTCAGTTCCACATCTTTGCTTCATATGCACCTCCATGTCAGTCACCTCATCAGACTCTCACTCTGCTGCCATCCGTTACACAACAACAAAATGTAACAGAATACTAGTGGTAAGGTTCAACCTCTACTGTCATACCACCAACATCTCCCTCTGACATTGCCTTAATCTCGAAATGATGCATTTTTCACTAGATTTCACAGTCTTCCAGGTTGAATCAAGGGCAGAGCATAGAAAATAAGAATTTAAAGGAGAAAAGTATCAGTAAGCAATCCTTACAATTGTCTCACAGCAGATGCCTATCAGTCTAAATCTGAAAGAATCAATTCATTACAAGTATCTGAATTAACGTAGTATTAGAAATATTGATATATTGATATAACAGTGCATATAAAGTCTATTACAGCAATAAAAATACTTTCTACCTTATATGCTAAAAATGGCATATGCATTATCTGCATACAAATACCTAAAGTCACTGTAAATTATAATTAAACTGAAAGTTTTCCTCTGTCCAAATTAAGCACTGGCCTTACTACCTCCATTCTCTGTCATGAGCAATATGAACATTTATAATTCCAATAATTTCAAGCCATGTAGGCCCAACTGAATGCAGCTGTGTAAAAAATAAGAAGTAGGAATGAATAATGTACAGTGCATAAACAAATGTGTGAAAGATTCATAATTAGGGGTGCATGCTAAGAAGGTATTAAAATAGACAAGAAATCAGTAGATAATGTGGATTCCAACACAAAGAAGGAAGTATTGTACTGAAAACACTTCCTTACAAAATCAGTTAATAAATCTGTCCAAAATGAAACAAAAAACGTTCAAAGGAAATTTGCCAACAACAGGATCAGTTTGTCAACTAAAAAGGGGGAGAAACTTCTCTGAAGTCTTCGGTGAAAACTGATGTGGGAGTTTCTATTATCAAGTTGGAAAAGCTAGAATTTGGCTAACATTCATTTTCAAATAAGCTCCTTCATTTATAAGCAACTCAGTAACAACTTGAAAACAATATGAAACATAAAGAACATTAAGAAATACATTGGACAATTTTGAAAATTCTCATTAAAAAAAAAAAAAAAAAAAAAAAAAAAAAAAAGAATTTGATACATGAAACAAATGAAATACTTTTGTTAATGTCTAGGATTCTTACAGGATCCCACACCTAGGATCAGTTCCAGACACTGAAAGGAGATAATCTGTTTGCAAAGCAGTAAAGAAAACAAAGCAGCAAAGCACGGCAGCAAAGGAAATAGACTGCCATCACTCATAGACACAGCAAGCTGGTGTGTTAGTTTGCAAATGTGAAAGCAGAAAGTTGAATGTGACAGAACTGGTGCATACATGACCCCAGACCACTACGGCTGTCAGCAAACCACATCATTATCCCTCACTCCTTTGTCTGCAAGACGCATGCTTTAAACCTGCTCATCCAAAGACAGCAGCAGAAAGAAGAATGCTCTCTTTTGAGCAGTTTTGCACTCCCATAAGAAAAGGAAAATCAACAGGATTCAGAACTGTTCAAAAGGAAATGGCAATCCCTAAAAATCACAACTATGTGCTCTCCTGTTAAATGCTAAGCGTTTACTGAAATGTAACAGGAGAAAAAAAAAAAACTTATACTGTCATCTTTTTCTATACAAAGGTCTCTCAGCATTATAAAGAAATTGAAAATAAATGAAACATTGGGATCATCTGTGGTCAGCAGATGTGGTGAGCAACAGTTCAAGTATACATAACGTGAAAGCAGAATAGTATAGCTCTGGCTTTGATCAGCTCATTTTTTATTTTTTAGTAAATCAATGGCAATTTCTGAATGACAATTCCAGAAAGTTTTTTGAGAAGATGTATTTAATGTGCAAGAGCACATTGATGACATGTAAAAGCACTTTAGAAAGGTCTGCTTTCAGTTTCACCTTTGCTTACTACATTAATTGGTTAGAATTTCTCTTTAATATTTTCACATAAGCACTGTAAAGAGGCCCAGTACATCTGCTTATGCAGTTTTATCTGTGCAAATTCTGAGGTTTCACTACATTTGCATTCACTGCTTCTGCTAGTAGACAGGATTGATGCTCTTTACTATGCTGGTGCTTCTGTACCTCAGGACTGTCAAAGCAGTAACACTGCTGTATTCATAGGGCTCCCTTTTGTCACTGAGCTGCTAATATAACTGATAGTGATGGCACCACAAAATAATACTTTTCTGTATTATGGCAAGCACAGGAAATTCATTCAGTACTTCAAGTGCTCCTGGAGTTTTGAGATGCTGTATCACATAATGGCACTATTAGGAAGGTATGCATTTCTGTCTGAGAATTTCATACAAGTAATTCAAAACTAGTCAGAGAGTTCGCATTACAAAATAGATTACATTGCTAAATACCTGCCTCTTAACACTATTGGTACAATGCCAATTTCTTTGCTGTCTAAAGTTTGGAGACATCCTGTGTGGAAATCATATATATATAAAGATCCAAAGTCTACATAAAACAAATGTATCAAGGTATGAATAAAAGACTGCTAATAAACACAAAGTACCATTGATCACTGATGAATTTTCAATAATGCTATCAAATACACTGCACTATAGCAAGTAAAAAAGGAATGCTACATTTTATAAACTGTAAGTAGGTTTTCTAAACAAACAACTGGGAAAACTTTTAACTTCCAGAGAAGAAAAGTAACTTCATGAAATATTAAGAG